CATCCGTCTACGACGTAGTTTCTCCCAATCTAGGGTACATCCCCGTGCTGTCACCATCTACGGTACCTGGGTATGTAGAGTATGTGTACTCTATCCTTTCTTACTTGGGTACCTACTACATTCATACGATACGGCTACTCTAGAGTGCTGCTGGGTAGCTACTCTACTTGCCGCCGCCTACCGGTAACGTTACTTACTTGGCGTGGCCTGACTTTTTGCCCAGTCATACCGACATAATCATTCCCTCTACCTATACCTATTGTATACCCACTGTACGCACACGACACAGTAAGCTGCTGCTCCCCTTCGATCTTTGCACACCCTTGCCCATGCTCCAGCTCCAGTTTGCGCCATTCTCGGCTATATTGTCCTAGCCAGTGGCCACATGGCTCTTCGCCTTTTTGCCTCTTGGGCCTCCGCCAGCCACCCGGCCGTTTTTTTTTTGTTTTTTTGTTTTTTTTTTGAATGGGTACTTGCGGTTCCTCCAGAGACAATCTTCTCGTATTCGTGCCCCTTGTACATTCGAGGGAATTACCTAGCAGTCTGCAGTACTAGTCTGCCTTCAAGCGGCTGGCCTCGCACTCCCAGACGCAGTCGTGTGCAGCACCCGCCAAATCCGGGTCCAGATAGAGTACACACAGGATGGGCGATATGAGTCCAGACCCATGCAAACATGCGGTTTGACTCCTTTGGCCGGCCATCGCGTTACCAACCTCCAACTGGCTCTCGACAGGCTTCCTTCTCTCTCGCCCCCCGGCCCCCTGCAATACCCTTGACTGGATGGGGCCTTTTGACAGTTCCATTTTTATCTCCACCTTTATCGATCCCGCACCACCATGTCTTCACTGCAATCCTGCATCTCAGATCGTGGACCAGCGTCGACTAGGTATGTATGTGCAGTACTCATTTCTACCCCAGTAGCCCATGTTTCGGTCCGACAGCGCTCTCCAACATGTGAGATTCTCGTCAGGCCATCTATCGAGTGTGCTTGTGCAACACGTGAGCAAATGCATACTCGCCGGCCGTGTGGGTGGTGTACGTGAACACTACATGAGGATTCACTGCCAAGCCTGTACCGGTGCTGTACGAAGAGGCCCCATTCTCAGAATGCTGTACATACTTTGGTGCACCCTGGAGGTTACTTGGGAGGATATTGTGCGACTCATTACTACGGGAGAGCCCATTCGGCCTTGGGCGGCAGTCGAATCTGCCCGACACGCGCAAGTCCTGGCAGATCATCAGAGGCTCGTATCGGGGTAGCTATGGGCAAGGTCGAAGCTTGAGGCCCACACGTGCTGCTGCGTCCGTGGAGGGGACGGGACGAACGGTGGAGCCCATGCAGACTTGTCAGCACCCACGTTGAGCTCGATCGCTACCACGCAGTCTAGCAGAAAAATAGATTCTACAATACCTCGGTGCTGGAGAGTCAATCCTAAGAGCCCTGGATAGGGCCCACAAACTCGTCCAAGAAGCATCCGGTTACCAAATCTGGGACATGGACTCGTGATGAGCCTGGTTTGTTGGACCCGAGCGTGGAGACACTTCAAACCCACGATTTGATACGTATGTATCATCAGTGACTAGTACACCAACAATTCAAGCCAGACCAACCAACTATACTTACATGCGGCTAATGAAACCGTGCTGTCGAGGTACTGTAGCCATGTATTCTGCATCCATCCTAGGTATGACACCCTCACGGAAGGTTTACACCGTCGCCGCCAAGCCACTAGCGCGAAAAACTTCCCTTTCTGCCTGCACCTGTTTCCTCGTGAGCCTCCAATAACCGCAGCCGTGGATAACGAAGCCAGTACACGGAATTACAAAGCGATATCCAATCTCACCCTGATACTCCATCCGTCAGTAAGATATGCGTGCGCGTTTTGTCGATCCACTGGGACAGAATGTCTAACCTTTTCTTTCAGCTCGGTTAGACGTATACGTGCTTGCGAGTGCTGTACGGTAGATACAGGGGTCTGTCGTACACAGACTTTGAGCGCTGCTGGTGTTGTAGAGGGTAGTAGATTATATTACTACAATGCAGGCAAGTTTTGTTGCCAATGTTTAATCATGTTGCTATGGATTTCTGTCTACAGGATTAAGACCATACATGAACAAAAGACACAAACACTATTCTTCCTTTTACCATTCATCCCCCAGAGTAGATTTCCTCCTTCTTCCACTCCCTATCATCACACCGTCTTGTTCTTTTCTACACTTTCCAGTTTAACAATCAAAATCATTCTTCACGTCACCATCACAGACAAACACCCCTCCATTTTCTAACTTCTACCCCCATCCAGATCAAAACCCCTCAATCCGCACTCCTCTCCAACCACGAACTCCTCCTCCACCTCCGCCAAGAAGAAGCAGAATACAGCGGCACAGATGGCATCCTCGATGAAAACGGCAGGTCGCGCAAACGAGCAAAGCCAGCCGGTCTCAACCACATGTTACGAGATGTACGTTTTCCCCCCCTCTTCCCTCACCAACTCCAACCAACATCAACATTCCCCAGGGCCTCACCTACCTCCAAACCCCAGACTACACCACCAGCCGCCTCGCGGACACACATCCCACCCGGCCCATGACCCTATACCGCGGCCCAAACTCGCTCTTCCGCGCCCTGGCGCCAAAATACCGTCTCAACAAGGCAGAGTATCTACAGCTATATAATCTACGGCCGAGCACGCAGGTCATGCTTGAACTTGTTATTGAAGAGGTAAGTGTTTTATTTGCATTGGATTATTATGGTTGTCGTCATCATCATCGTGATTATCATCGTCATCGTCACCCATCCCCCAACCACACACTCTACCCTTCTTCTTCTTCTTCTTCTTCTTCTTCTTCTTCTTCTTCTTCTTCTTCTTCTTCTTCTTCTTCTTCTTCGCCAAGAAACATGCATACCAACACAGAAACGTACAGGCAGGCACACGGTTCACAGAGGACGAACTCCATGATATTCTCGCTATTACGCAGCACGTGTTTGACGAGGAAGAGGCGAATATCCCGCAAGGGGTAGAGGACATGAAGATGGACAAGATTTCAAACAAGTTGTTGGGCGCTAGTAAGAAGAGGAGGAAGGTGAGGAGGAAGGCCTGAGTTGGGAGGGATTATATGTTGGAGTGATTACATGTTGAAGTGATTACATGTTGGAGTGATTATATGTTTTCGATAACACACTTCATCATAACAAGGCTGCCTCAATCTCCCGGCCGCTCTTCTGGGGAGCTTTCTTTGCTGTAAAAGTTTCGTCGACGAGTGAGCTTGTGTACTCAGAACCTAAAACATCCTCTCCTGTCCGTATCACTCCGCGCTACATGTCAAGTCTGATTTACTCAACGAGCTATGAGGACGAACACATTCGAACAGCTGATTGTTTGTGTAATAGCAACTAGCGGGTATCCATCCCACGCATCCTCATCATGCAACTTAACAACGATGAAAATAACGATGTACACAAATGCCCCAATGCCATGCGCCACGCTCGCCCATGTGAAGCGAGTCCGAGTCCAGTAAACGCCAAGCCCATTTTGAACATACAGTAAATCTTCCACATACACCAAGAGCAAGCCTCTAGTCCTTGCTCTTCTTCTTCTTCTTCTTTTCTGCCTTGTCGCCCTCATCACCAGCTTTCCTCTTCTTGCTGCTGTCTTTGGCTTCCTTCTCTGCCTTCTTGGCTTCTTTAGCGGCCTTCTTTGCCTCCTTTGCCTTTCGTTTGGCTTCACGCTCGGCTTTGCGGGCCTTCTTGGCCTCCTTCGCTGCCTTCTTTGCCGCCTTGTCACCACCAGACTTGGCAACCTCTTGCTCTTCTGCATCGGAATCGGACTCCTCAGAACCGCTGTTCGCGTCGGCCATGGTCTCATCCTCATCGTCTTTGTCGACCTCTTGTACAAGCTTCTTGGAACTTGTGCCATTTACCTTGTCACTCTTCGATTTCTTAGCCGCGGGCTCGTCGCCAGTCAGACCATCGGCATCGGAATTGTACTTCCGTGCCTCCTTGACATCCCACTTGGTTTGTGAGCCGAGCGCGGTCTGGTTGGCGTTGGCCAGGCTCTTCAGCGGCTTTCCCTCGAGTGCCCTCAATCTCCTTTCGATGCCCAAGCGAGCATCGCGACCAAGCTGCGACTTCTCCTCTTCCGTTGGCTCGTTGGAAGTATCCTCAGAAGATACACCCCATGTGCTGAGAGCATCGACACGGAGACCGAGAGCGGATTTGGCGGCGAGCATGCGAGCAATTTTACCCTTGTTTTTACCAGTCGCCTGGCCAATGAGAGAAGCATGGTAGATGAGCTAGGCAATGATGTTAGTAGATGTCCTGAAGCAGAAGCAGAGTCAAACATACACCGTATTTAGGGGTATCGTGCTTGGTCTTGAGCGCACGGAACAGGGCCTTTTCGGCACCGAGAATCTGGATGGTTGAACCGGGGGACTTGGCGAGGTTCATGAGGGAACCTGCGTGAGCAATGAGGCGCGCACCGACAAGTTCGCCGACTAGCGCAGTCAGGTTGGGTGCAAGTGCCTGCATACGAGAGGAGAGGTAGTTGCCAAGGTTTTGGCGATGCCTGCAACAGATTAGCAAGGTGTGCAGAGCGGACAGAAGCAAATTGCGTACTCGGTGAGATCAACGACCTGCTCAGCTAGGGCACTTGTAGCCTCGAGATCCTCGTCGGTGATTTCAGTTCCCATGCTGATCTCTGCCGCAGCCTTGACGGCAGCCTCAATCTCCTCTGGCAGAATACCGGAAAGGTCGGTTTCGCGTGCGTTTGTGCGGAAGCCCATCTGGAGCACAACCTTGGAGTAGGCCAGGTTGTCGTTGAGAATCTTGGCCAGTTCGGGAAAGTGCCATCCATACCATTCCTTGACACGCATGGCATACGTGTTGAGCTGCTTGTCGAGGACGTCAAGGCTGGCAATGCTCTGAATGATCATGGTATCGACCTTGTCGGGCGAAAACTTGAGCTTGTGGCGGGAGAGCGAATGCGCAAGACCCAGGCGGGTCGAGTCCATCTCGGCGGGAATAAGGTCAGGGATGAGTGAGGTCATGTGCTCGCGGATGGCACGGTAGACATCCTGGGTGGAGGAGTCGGAGATGGGCTTGAGCGACAAGCCAGGGATATGGGCAATGGCATTTGCGAGCTTGGGGTCGGCGACAGCCACTGCAGGAGATTAGCTGCCACCCGTGAAAATGATGAGAGAGGGGAAAGGAAGAAGAGAGAAGGCAATGGTTTCAAGCAATTGATCAGGGAAGAGGGGGGCCGTCGGCGCGGCGCAAGCACAAGCACGTACATGAAGCCTTGGTCTCGTCTTTGAGCTCCTGGAGCAAGTTGGACAGCATAGGGCTGACCTTGCCGTCGGTCAAAGCAGCGGCTTCGTTGAGCGCTGTGACGGCATTCTCAAACTTCTGGAAGCGCTTGAGCTTCAGCGAGTCGACAACGGCCGAGACATCTTTGGTGAGCTCGTCGCCCTTTGAAAGCAGCTTCTTATCCTTCGATTTGAAGAGGGCATAGCCCGCGCTGCAGAGAATGTGTTAGCTCTTTTGAAGGCGCATGCGTGGTAAGAGCTCGAGCAAGCAAGCCAGCAGCCCGTACCTCGTTTCGGACAGGATAAACAGGCCCATGGTTGCAGCTGCTGGGTTTTGTCCAGAAAAAGAGGGCGAGAGAGGGCGAGAGGGGAAATACAAGGGTATCGACTGCCCGTTGGTGCGTGTAGTGGAAAGTCGCAACGGGGTGAATGTGCGCAATGCCTGCCGTTGTGGGAGCTTCAAAAGTTGCGAACTTTTTCCATTTTCCTGCCAAGACGCCAAGACGCCAGTCCCAAAGGTGCACAAGCGGCCTGCATCCCCGGGAACTACCAGAACCGGTGTTAACTCTCTTGTGCCTGAAATTCAGGTCATGCCACAGCAAGGACACAGCAGATGGCCGACTAATTCACCAGCAAACAGCCACTGGACTGCGACATAGTATGCTATTGCTATCGTAGCATAGACTTGTGCTTGGGCTTGTTCCTGTCTGTAGGCTTGCTCGCCCAGGTTCACCAGGTCCACACTCTTTGCACCACCAGCACCTTTCTTCTTCACTCTGCTGTCCAACTAGCAGCCACCGCCCAATGGGCTTGATAGCGAATCGAACTGCGCAATGAAGCACACGCCCTGCCTTCATCACAACTTACTGTGGCTTCTTCCTCTCTTCTCTCTAACCAACCAGAGTACCTTTTTCCCCATCATCCCGCCATGTCAACCTCGACCGGCGGCGAGCGCAAGGTCTCTGGGCCACTCGGTCGCTCTGCCCGACCACGCATCGCAGACCTGGGATCCACGCCCGAGACACCGCGCACGCCACTGCTACGCTCCTTCTCCTCCACCTTTGGCTCGCCTGGTGGCAGCTTCCGCACCGAAGACGAGTATGTGGCCATTGAAGTGGGTGCCCGTTTTGTGCGTGGTGGCTTTCCAGGCGAAAGCAGCCCGCGATGCACCCTCTCGTTTGGGCCCGACTCGCAGCGCAGAGTAGGCGACTACAGGCAATGGGACCCCGAGTATGTCCACAAGAGGCCGCGGCGGAAAAGAGGACAGGCCTGGGGCCAGGACCATGAGCTCTACCGCATGCATCTGCCCTCGGCCGACCTGGGCCTTGTCGAAGACAAGTTCGAGCGGGCGATGCGAGAAGCTCACAACAAATACTTCCTGCTCGACACCAAGCCCCGCCGCATCCTGCTTGCCATGCCATCACGCACGCCGCACCCGCTTCTGGCCACCATGCTCGATGTCCTCTTCACGAGCTTCCAAGCCCCGAGCGTCACCCTCATGTCCAACCCCGTGCTCTGTACCGTTGCCGCCGGCTTACGTTCTGCCCTCGTCATTGACATCGGCTGGGCAGAGACCGTCGTCACCGCCGTGTGCGAGTTTCGCGAAGTGCTCGAGCGCCGTACGGTCCGCGCAGGCAGGATGCTCAGTGAACGCATGGCCAAGTTACTCAACGCTCACCTCGACGAGGATGCGGAGCCGGGCGCGCCAAGAGCAGACGTCTCATTTGAGGAAGCCGAGGAGGTGCTCACCCGTGTAGCTTGGTGCAAATCTCGCCCGAGATCGAATCGTCGTACAGTCTACTTTCCTGCACGTGAAGCGCCTGTACTGGAAGAGTTTGAGGATGCAATCGAGTCACCGCCGCCAACGGTCACCATACCCTTTCCCAAACACACACCGCCGACTGAACTCAGAGTGCCATTTGCCTCGTTGGCCCAGCCAGCCGAAGATGCTCTGTTCGCGTCTGACATGGCTCTCAGTGAGTTTGATGACGAAGATCTTCCACTCCACCATCTGGTCTATCGAACCCTCGTCCAACTCCCCATTGATGTACGACGACTATGCATGTCCCGCTTGGTCATCACAGGCGGCGTATCCAACCTGCCGGGTCTCAAGACGCGGATCCTCAAAGAGCTCGAGGCTCTGGCCCAGCTGAATAGTTGGAACCCTGTAAAAAACTACGGCACCGCCAGCGCCCGTCATGAAGAAAAGCTGCGTGCGCAACGAGATGCTTTTGAGCTGCGTCAACAAGAGGGAGGGCATGCTTGTCCTCCAACGGATTCGAACGCTGCATCACAGGCTACACCTGCAGGGTTCCACTCGCCGGACGAGGATGCCATTGATCTGAAACTCGCGAACCTCACTCTGAAGAACGGCCCTCCCTCGATGTGCTCTGCTGGCGGTATGATTCGGGGTGTGGAAAGTCTCGGGGCTTGGGCAGGTGCAAGTCTTGTAGCACAGCAGCGAATCAAGGGCATTGTAGAGATTGAGCGTGAGCGATATCTCAAAGATGGTTTGCAGGGATCTTCAAGAGAAAAGGAAGTCTCGGTGGTTGCGCAGAGGCAGAGTATGGGCGCTGGACTTGCGGCCAAGGGTAACGAGAGGGCGAGCTGGACGTTGGGCATATGGGCCTGAGAGCTGTACAATGCATGTAGCTGTTTTTGTACATTGCATAAGCCAGCATTTGCTCAGCGCGCGACTCGTTTTATGTGTCGATTAAGATCAGATCCAAATGCTCTTGTTCAAGTTGATGGAATCTTTAGAATAAGGTTATTTTAAACTAGATGTTTGCAACCCACGCTGCCATGTCTTGCGACACCTTGACAATCCATCTACTATGCATACATACAAGTGCATTGACAAGCCATCCTCCCCTACCTCATAACCCTTGCACACTTTCTTGCATTCAGCAACCATCATCCAAACTCCCTACCCATGATCCCACAAACCCACAACCTCGCCAACCCACACAAAAACCCTCCACAAACAAAAAACACCGCAGCGTACACCACCTCATTCAACCTCCCGCCTCTCATCGCAATCGAAACATCTCCACCTTGTGCGGGCCTTGCTGTCCCCGATAAGGGCATCTCTAGATAATTATCTGTCCGTTACCATGGCAAATACATGACCTCGCACATCCCTTTCCAACCCCCTCCAATCACTCCAACACCACTGTAATACCACTCCAATACAACTACAACACCACCCCGCTCTTCCCAATCATCACGCTATTAATGTAAAGCTACAAAGCGAGTGCTATATGATACATCATCCACGCAAGCCCTGGCTTCAATGTTTTTTTTTTTTAAAAAAGGCCTCAGGGTCCGCGTTCCCTGGGGATGAAGTGCATTATGTGGGTGAAGTACAAGTAGCTCGAGACTGAGAATGGAGAGAGCTGGTTGGGTTGGGTTGGGTTTAGTTCCTGACCAGGACTTTACCTTTTGACTTTGATTCTTGACTTTGATTCCGAGTCTAATGCACAACCACAAACCACAAACCACAAACCACAAACCACAGTATTTCAGGGCTATGCGATCCCAAACTTAAACGGAAAAAGGGATACTTGATACTTGATACTCAATACTACCCCTAATTATCGCGAACCAAATCCCCCTTGCAGAACGTGCAATATTACAGTGGACAAGGGGGAAAAACTTCACATCACTGCCATGTCTCCCTGTCCAACGCGAAAAAGCTCGGATGACTACATACACGTCGACGGGGTGATTATTAGAAGAAGCGCATGATTATAAAGAGACACGACCACTCCTCTGTTGCACTTCGGTTCGCTGTAACCTGCCACAGCTGCAAACCCCCCTCCCCTCATCGCTCATGCCCTAAAAGAAAAAAGGTATCCAAGAAAGAAGAAGAAAGAAGATTTTCCGTCAAGTCTGTCGGGCGCTTATCCTCCTGGAAAATAAAGGTACGCTGCATCAAAGAAGTAAAATCATTACGCTTTAATAAGTTATCCGCTCGTCAAAGACGGGTGCTTCCCTGGCCTTGCCATCGTCAACACCCTTCCAGTACACCTTTCCCTTTTCGTTGAAAACCGCCTGTTCATCCGTAATCTCGAGGCCGGGAACGGCCTTGCGCGTCTCCCTAATCTCGCGCTCGCTGATGCCCATGTCGTCGTGCACGATCCAAATGACGGGTGTCGGGCTCGTGACGGACGGGTTGAAATAGGCGCGCTTTGCGATTTCTTCGGGTAGAGGTTCCTGGGGCGTGTGGTAGAATCGATCGAGGGATGCAGACAAGTGTTGGATAGAATGCGATTCCGGGTTGAAGAGTTTGCGGAGGAAAGCGGGCATTTTTGATGGCCGAGGGGCGTGAGAGGAGACGGCTCCTTCGGTTGGTTGCGTCTTCTCTGTGTTCAGTCCGTCCTCGTGATGGCCGTTTAGGGGCGCGGGATTGCCGTAGGCAAGGCGTGCCTCTTCGTGCTCGAGCGCTTTCTTCATCGTGAGCTGGAAAACGACGGTCAGGGCCAGTATGATACACATAATGGCCAAAGGACCAGCGGCATAAGGGCTCTCTGCCGTGGAAATAGCAAACAATCCAATGAGGCAGAGTTCAGAGAGGTAGACGCCAGTGAGAAGCTGGCGGAGGGCCTTTTGGTACGCCTCGCCTTTGGTGTCAATATCGGTCTCGTAAACATAGAGGAAGTTGTAACGGAAAGCAATGTAGATGAGGGTAAAACCGACAGTGGCGAAACCGAGGATCAGAGGAGCGATACCAGAGTAAGTAATGGCAATGACACCCAAGTTGATCCACTTGGGAAACTCGGAACCCCATGCAGGTGCCGACAGCTTCGTCAACTTCTCGAATATCTTGCGTGGGGTTTTGCCGGGGAGAATACGGCCAAGCAGAACGACTACGACGAAGCCACCAATGTTCAGGAGGGTGCCAGCAGCAGACGAGAGACCCAGCAGGATGAAGTAGCTGATGTAGAAGTTGGAGGCCTTGGGCAAGTTCATTGCGAGAAGGCTGAGGACCATGCCCGGGTTCTTGAGCACATCATCGATGACAGACACAATAGCGCTGGACATTGTAGCGACCAGGAAGACTTGAACGACCTGGAAGGCAAAGTACCAGCTCTGAGTCTTGAGTTCGATCTGGCTGTATGTGACTTTACACAATTAGTACCGTACCCAGTAGGCCTGTAGTTTTGTTTTAGCAACTCACCATAACCAGCCAATTTCGCCATCAGACGACAGACAATGGGCACCAATGCCATCAAAACTGCAAGCATAACAGCAGGCAGCAGACCGGTAATCACACCGAGAATGACTTGTGGAATGTCCAAGATCCATCGCAGCCAGGGGAACCGATCGGCCAAGTAATTGACGTTGGAGACTAGACCGACAAACGCGACGGGAACCGCGAAGAAGATGATCATGACGGTAATAAAAGCGGTAGCTGCGAACCAGCGAGCCATGTGTTCGGCGGGCTTGATGCGTAGATTACCCCACACAACCTCTTGAGGCATGACGCCGAGCTGGCGGGCCTGTAGCTTGTCGTTCGGCTTGGTCTTGCGCTTCTGCATCATCTGCCAGGCGTCCTGTGCATTCCTCTGTGTCGCGAATTCGAGAAAGACGGCTCCGACAAGATCGCCTTGGCCATTCCAGTGCTTGCCCTGCTCTGCAGTAACCTTGGGGAGAATCTCAGCCAGGTGCGAGCGGCCATATTCAATCGTGTCGACCTTCTTTCCAATGAGGAACTTGAGCTTGTGCGTTGGACGCTTCTTGGGATTGATCCATTTGCTACCGTCGGCCACCTCTGCCGCCACAAAGTGCTTCTTGCCCTTGTCAGCCTTGAGTCTTTCCTTGTTGGCATCGGTAGAGAGCTGGACCAGTGCCGTTTCCAGCTTGAGAGCAGTGTCATCACGGTCCTCGACTAGCTTGTCGAGTTCTTTAGTGTTGGAAGCCACCCACGCATGCTTGACGCCTGGAAACATCTCGAAGAGGGCAGTCTGGCTCAGCGTGGTCGGTACATTTGTGAAGAGAATGGTGCGCGAGGACAAACGACTGGCACCCCATGGCGATTGACGGTACGCCTGTCGCAGATTGACAACATAGAAGGACTCGCGGGCGACGATGACGAGGATGAGGCTGAGAAAGATGAAAGAGACCAAGGCATGGGCGTAGTAGCGATTGACGTTTTTACCCTCGGCCCTGATGTTACTCATGGAGAGCAGGTCGAGCTGCTGTTGGCCCGCGCCACCGGTAGCATTGATCGGAAAAAGGACGGGCCAAGTGATCAGACAGCCAAGGAAACTGATGACGATGAGGACCTTGAAGAAGCGGACAAACAGATAACCGTCAATGGACTGGTGGTCCAGAATGTACTCGTCCTTGAGGTTTTTGAAGTCCTTGATCCATTTGAAGAAGCCCCCGCTCGGGGCTGGGGTCTGGCGCTGCTCTCCCAAATGGTTGAGGTAGGTTCGAGGTGCATAGACTCTGCGAAAGTACTTGCGCGCAATGATGAAGGCGGTGACAAAGGCACCAGCAAGAATGGCAGTCGGGACCAGGGTCGAGATCATGCCCGAAAGCGAATTCGACGAATTTTCACTGGCATTGCCTTGTTGTCCACCCTGTGTTGGTCAGCATGTGAACCGTTGCCATGCTACGGCGAGGGCGAGGGCGAGGGCGAGCGCCAGCACGCTGCCCGCGCTGGCGCATGATCAGGACGATTGAGGACGACTGACGACCGACGGCGACGGCTACCAATACTACTTACTGTGGACGACATGCTGGGCGATTGAGGACGTCCAAGGCCCGGGTGAATGGACGAGGAGGATGCGCAAACAAAAGAAGGGGTTGCTTGGTAGAAAGTACCCAAAGTAGAAGCGGGCTGTCTGTGGATACAAGTAAAGCTGGCGGCTAGTCGTCTCCCTTTTCCTCCTTAAGATTGGTAGATATGACGTCGTGCACGGATGCTGCAAAACCAGCGAGGCAAAGAACAAGCCACGGCGCGCTTAGATTCACCTTGCGGCCCTTTTTCATGCCATCTGGGCCTCTTGCCGAGCCGCATGGCGAGCATGGCAACAACCCCCCCCCCAGCCTCATTGGGCGACGTAGTGTACCATACATGGCACTCCTCATGGCTCTAGGGCTGGAGGATAGGGCTGTGGAGACTGGAGAGAGGCTGGTGGGTACCTCGTACTACTGAGTGTGGACGGGGTCGGTGGCTGGCTGGGCTGTCTGCTCAGAATCTTTTCTCATCCCTGGTGAGCTCTCGAGATGCGACTGTCTACCTTGTACCTACTCTACTGGATGCGTCTGTCTGGATGTGTGACAAGGGACAACGGGATGGGCGCAAAAGCGAGCTTCTGATTCGCAGTCGCGGCCAGGTGCAAGTCAAATCTGGGTCGATGGGAGATTGCCAAGTGCCAGTTCTGCGGTTGATCGACCACGAGCGGTGACAATGACGGCGATGGTGACAATGACGGCGATGGTGACAATGACGGCGATGGTGACAGTGACGGCGATGGTGACAATGACGGCGATGGTGACAGTGGACAACGAAGGACAGAACATTGCGTCGGCGAATGCATGTTGGGCACGCAGCCATTCCAGCAAGACACTTTGCCGTTGTAATGAGCAGACAAGGCCTGGATCGACATGGACACCATCACCGTGTGTTTAGAGAACGCTACACGACACTGTACTGGTGCATGGATACGGACACACACACACACACACACACAGACAGGAGTACAGCAGATGGATGGCTGAGATAGCAGTCGTGCCTGGTCACCTGACGAGGGCTACAGAGGAGAAGGTTGGTGGAGTGCTTGTCGTACCATGTATGCCATGTAGAGTAGGCTGTATACCAACTCTAGGTAGCACCTACATGCCGTACTCTACATGCATTGCATAGCACAAGGCGTCGGGGGCTTTGCGTGATTGGAGCCTACTTGCACTCTAGATGGCAGCCCCGTCTGTACTCGGACTACGGTAGTGATAGCATGGCACAGTATAGGTATGGTGTGCATGTACCAGTGCAGGTACTAGGCCGCTTCAACACACAGAACAAGGGGACTGCCAGCTCACGAAGCGTCAGCCACTGCTTTTCGTCTATCTGCAAATCGGTACAAGGAGATCGCCGTGACGATGGATGATGGATGATCTTTGGGGGAGATGTGGCCCGGTCGAAGCATGGACCCGTTCAGTCTGGCTTGTAATTTTCCTCTTCTTCTTCTACTACGGAGTACTTCTTTTCGCTCTTGTAGTCGGCAAGCCACAGTGGCTGAGGAACTCTCTCCAATTCCAATTCCAATTCCAATTCCACCTACCAAGTCCTCCACAAGTCACGGCCACAATCTGCTAGATACCGGTACACTCATGCACATGCGCCCTCTGCCTACAACACACCAAACTCTACGACTCTTTTCAGCTGGCCATGCCCGTACGCTACTATGCAGACTAGTCACTGCACACTGTCGCCTGAACGAGTGCGTTGTTCCTCAAAGTCAAAAATGCACAGCCACACCCCGCAGCCAGCAGACCATGGCCCCCAGATTCCAGCTGCTGCAGAGACAGACGCTCGCGCTTTGGTGGGCAAACGTACCTTGGACAGGACATGATTTGATTGGGAGCCGCCGAGCCATACGCTGTACATCCTGTAGTGCTCCCCTCGACCGTTCCTCACGTCCTAGGAAGTGCAAAGAGTGTAGCTCTACGCAAATTAGCCCGAGCCCGCCCAAGTGATTCGGTCCTTCCTCGTCCTCATCTGCCTACAACCAGACCTCAGCCAAGTATATAGCAACTCCATGGCCCTGCCTGGACAGACTTGTTCTACGCTTCTGCCAAAACACACATCCACCACACATCCACCACTATTGATCCTGTTTGGCAGCACTGCAGTAAGTACAGAAACGACTGCAATCTGTACCAATCCACTTTCCTCTCTCGCCATGACTGATCTTTCCACGCAGAGAAATCACCCCCTTTGGGCTGGAACATTCAAACGGATACTGAGATACTGGCTTATACTTTCCGGGATACAGCGGCGACGTCTTCCTAGTTCAAACGACTCATATAGTAGGCCAGGGCGGACACTTCTGACTCACGGCACGCAACTGCGCGACTCAACCCTCATTTTCGCCTTGTGACAATGACAAGCCAGGGGCTCGACGCAACTCCGCGCGATACCGGTAGTACAGTCCACCGCAAAATCGCTCTCAATTTCCGACAGTACAAGCAAGCCATACGCATCCAAGCAACTCGAAAGCGACTGACGTAGATGCCTGGCTCAATCGAAGCTGGGAAGAGAGCGGTTTTGAGCGAATTCGAGGAGGGGTGCAAAGGTATATATCTCGACTTCTCGCCCCTCCTCCAGAAGATGGGCCTGGCGCTGGCACTCGCCACGCCGCGTTAGCGCACGACTGAGCCGCCCGAACGAACATCAGATGGCCAGCCATAGTGCACCTGCAAGCCATCAGCGGCTATCACCAAGGAGTACGGAGTCTGCATTCTCAAATCTCAGGCCAGCTTCAGCGTAATTAGTACGAGGAGCCTTGTTTGCCCCATGGGTAACACGGCGACCACCTCGAATCAAGATAGCGCTGTATTCACACCACGCATAAACGTTGCGGGACGAATGTTTGAACTTGACGACATCCGCGAAAAAGAGTGTTCTCCATGTGGAGCACATGCGCAATGCATTCGCCACCGCTTCATCCCGAGTCGAAACGACAGGTGCACAGACCGGCAATCTCCACCCAGAAATCGTTTCATGGAACGACATGTGGGAAACGGAAAAACTCGCCCCACCAGGCAACCAACTCTGAGTCTCTCCCCCTTTTCCTTTCCGACGATTCGAAGCGAAAGCACTCGCACAACAACGAGGAAGACGAGTAGGCAATCATGGCCTACCTGAGCACAATGGCCACAAATAGGTCCTCCAAGGCATCGTGACTAGAGCGTAGATGCGATCGCAGGCCAAGTGCCTCTTCCCTTCAAGGCGCTGCTACCTACTTGTCTCCCCTAGACCTTTTCTTTTAGGCGCTCGATTCCCAAGACAGCTTTCATCCGTCTTGGAAGTTTCATATTCCCGATTGTGGCTCCAACTGTCATTCGTCAGTTCCTCCATTTGTCGAACTCCGACGCCAGGACTGTGCATCGAAGCCAACACCTACAAATCTCCCATGACCATTTTTCATCATATTATTCTGGGTCGGAGGATCGTGGCCAGCCTCAAAATGAACGTTTGGTGGCAACTAGTTGGCGCCACTCTCCTCGAACGGACATTAGCGCTTGCTGAATCGTCCAGACAGATGACAGATGCTTGGCATCAACCCATCCACCAGGGTTTCAACATGTCAGTCCAGTACTAGATCGTATTGTATTGGCAATGAGCCGTGTATGCGGCGCAAGTATAAGAGCATCTGCCTGACCCGGCTTTCAAAGGGCATCAAGCTTGAGGCTGACATTCATTTTCACACGCTCTTTGGCATACACTCACTTTTGTTGATTCTTTTCTTCATCCAACCATCATTCATTCTCCCCATCTTCATAGATACATTCTTGACTAGCCAACCAACCAATCAAACGATCAAACAAACACTATCGTCACCATGAAGACCACCGCTGCTTTCGTTTTGGCCGCTGCCAACCTCGTTGCTGGACACGCCACCTTCCAGAGCTTCGTCATCGACGGAAAGAACCAGGGCCACCACTTTGCTGTCCAAACCCCCTCGAACGGAAACAACCCGATCAAGGATGTGACATCCACCGCCATGATTTGCAATGGTGGAAAGCCCACCGCAGACCAGGTCGAAGTGGCTGCTGGTTCCTCTGTCGGCATGCAATGGTTAGTCTTTCGATCCAGCGCGCGACGCAAAAGAAAAACAAAGCTGACCACTGTACAGGCACCACAATGATGACGGCAAAGGCAAGCCCCAAGCTCCCCCTGCTTTCCTTGGTGGATATTACTGACTTCTTCTAGACACCTTCCCTACCGGCGACTCTGACGAGCCAATCGCCGCTTCGCACAATGGTCCTGTCATGGTCTACATGGCACCGGCTGAGAGCAAGGGCGAGGGCGCTGTCTGGACCAAGATCTGGGAGGAGGGTCTCACTGACGGACAGTGGGCTGTCGAAAAATTCATTCAGAACAAGGGTCTCATCACCGTCGACATCCCCAACTTGAAGGCGGGCGACTACTGGATCCGCTCTGAGATCATTGGTCTCCACGAGGCCGGCAGCGAAGGTGGCGCCCAATTCTACAATGGCTGCGGTCAGATCAAGGTCACCGGCTCTGGATCTGTCTCTCTCCCTGCCACTGGCGCCGACATGACCAAGACCTACTCCCCCACCCACCCCGGCGTCTTGTTCAACCTGTACAACAACCCCACCAGCTACGAGATCCCCGGCCCCAAGGTCTGGGACGGCGCCTCGTCCGGAAGCGCCCCTGCTCCTAGCACCCCATCCCAGGCCCCTGCCACGCCTGTCTCTTCCACCACTCCCTCCAAGTCTGCCGCACCCGTCGCTAGCCCCGTTGCCACCCCAGTCGAGGAGGCCGAACCCGTCACCCCTACTCCTGCCCCCTCTGCTGCTCCTGCTCCCGCCCTTGGCAACGGCTCCGGCTCCGGCTCCGGCTCCGCTCTCCCGGAGACCTTCACCATTGACCAGTTCATCAGCTGGCTCAAGTCCAACACTGGCAGCTCTGGTCGCCGCGCCCGCCGCGCCCACCCCCGTGCTTTCCGGGTGTAAGCACGACAGTCGTCGCTTCAACATGTCACGACCAGATGTCTCTTGTGATTAACCACCTTGCATGACCAGGCGTCACGGCGGCTCTTCATTGTTGGCTGGCTTTTCAGAAGTATCTTCTTCTTGAACGGGAATGAACTCTTTTGCTTTCTTCGAGCTGCGAGGTCAGCGCTTCATTCATGTAAATATCGATAGTTTTGTCAATGTGGGAATCAGACGGTATTTCCATACAAAAGAAAACTTCACGCTGTGGAATGCGATGTGCATGTCTTGATATTGTTGACTCTTCAAAGCTACACTTTGTGATGTTTCGTTTCTTTTCCTTTGTTTCTTGTTCTCCTCGCCAAAAAATACACCCACCTCGAAGCCCTCTCTTCCTCTTCCTCTCCCACCCATCCTCACCACCAACACCCCGTCTCTCCCATCCCCCCATCAAACCAAACTCTCCCCTTCTCTCAACCCCCCATCTCACCTAAACAGCCCTGCACATCCCCCATCCCCACCACTGTACACGAGACCCAGACGCGCTTAGATCTCGCCTGTATATCTTTTTTTTTGCGGGAATAAGGAGTGTAGAGGTCGTGATTGTGCGTGTACTGCGCCATTTGATGCGGGATTATTCCGGCTTGGGGAGGGGAGAGGGATGGTGGGGTGAGAGTGTTTGTGGTGTGGGGAGTTGTGGGAGTTTATTTTATTTCTGATTGTGGTATTAAGGCATGTTTCTTGTTGGAGCATATGTCGTTGTCATGAGTGGTGATGAGGAAGGTCTTGTTGAACGAGTGGTTGTGTGGCGGGCTTGAGAAATGACGAATCAATTTATGACTGGGTAGCCTGCAAGTGTGCTTGAATTTATATCGCAAAGGGAGAGCTGCGTATGGACACTGGATACTGGTATACTGTTTGATAATGAATGCTCGTCGACTGTTATGGTGAATGCTCGAGTGGGTAGTACAAGTGCAAGCAGGCCATCATCGCCACGCTTACCTATGACGGGGAGAATTGTCGAGCCCACGACGCCGTCCAAGCCGAAGAAGCCGAGAGCGCGCAGGTAGAAAGAGCTGAAGATCGCGGCGACTACTGCTAACGAGAAAGATGGAAATGGGGCTGAATGGTGTAGGTTGGATGCACCCCTGGCTGAGGTGTGGTGAGAGAATGCTTGCTCCCGCCAAGCCAGACAGCCTGGCCTGCAGACATCCATTCGGAGACATACGGTACGATACTTTTGCCCGCAAACTGTCCTTCATTTCTCCCCAGCACCCAATCCAAAGAAAACTTCACCACACCCACATAACTGGCTACCAGATCAGCTTCCCAGAGTCCACAGTTGTCCTAAAAAAACGCGTCCATCATGTCTGGCAAGATCGTGTCCGTGACGTCATCCTCACACTTCACCCAACTGCTTTCGCAATCCACCTACACCGTAGTCGACTTTTACGCCGACTGGTGCGGGCCCTGTAAAGCGATTGCGCCCGTCTTCCAGAACCTTGCAGAGAAAGAGACAAGGCCAGGAAAGCTGCAGTTCGTCAAGGTCGACGTCGACGCGCAGCAAGACGTCGCGCGCAAATATGGCGTCTCTGCGTAAGCAAGCCCAACAACTCGTTCGCACAAGCGCCAGGGTAGGAGAGGTTACTAACCAGCACGCATAATAGTATGCCCACCTTCCTCGTCATCAAGTCTTCCTCTGTTGTCGATACCATCCGCGGCGCCAACCCCTCTGCCCTCACCGCCGCCGTGCGCAAAGCTGCCAACGATGCGACCGGCCCTGGCGCCTCAGCTGCTGTATTTCAAACCAAGGGACGAACGCTTGGCTCTGCGTCAGAACCTAGCCGGCCGGTGAATGAGAGCCCGTTTGCTGGGCTGCAGCGTCTTGTGGTGGGCAATGGAGGGCTCAGCGATATTGTCGTGCGTTTCGTTGCGCTGTACGTCATCAGCTTGTTTGCGTTTGATGCGTTCAAGGCGGCTGAAGAGAGCGCGTTCAATATCAAGGCGAAGAGGTGAAGTGCAGACGAGTGTGTTGTGGTCAGTCGAGATTGGTATGCTATAAGCGATGCAGATATTCATGCTTGGAGTTCTTGGGACAATGAATCAAGAGTCACCACACATCCGCTTCAACTACGTGTTATCCACTGGTACTTGTCCCCATTTTTGCAGCAAGAAGGTTTTACTTATGCACTTAGGTACTACGCAAATTACGTCGTGTACCGCCAGCTGCAAGATCAAGATTATAGAAAGCAGGTGAACCCTGTCAAGTAAAATGACATAACCTCGACATTTCCGAGTATACGAGCTGTAACTGTCGACGTTCAACGCGACATCGTCACTTATCTAATTGCGGTCGTATACCACCACGACTGGTCTCGCCTTAGCGACTTCCGGCTCTCGTATACCAAAAAAAAATCCAATACTATGACCTCCTAATCAGAGCTCGAACATTATAACCCAAATGCCTATTCCGCTAGCAGACGCAGGTACGGTAGATGTGTGGTGGCATGTCATATGACCATGGGTTTAGCGTCGGGCGACTTGGGCTTTACTCTAAGTGGTTAGAATATCCCTATAGGTTCAAGTCCACGTCACAGCGGCAAATTTTTATAGTTATATAAACTAGCCTATAGTTAAGTATAAATTAGGGTAATTTAAGCAAGTAAACGCAGTTTTTATTACTATCTTTTTTAAACATGTTCTAAACCTATTCTTAATAATATATAGGCGTTCCTAAATACTATACTAGAGTTTAGTATAGTAGTACTAGACAATATATCTAAACTAGATAGTAATATTAGAGATAAATTTAGGCAACTATATAAAGTGCTAGAGGAGGATAGTAGTAGTAGTGTTAAGGAAGTAAGTAAAAGTAAATAGAATAAGTTTAGAATAGGTTAGTAACATGTTACAGGGGCACAATATATACCTTACTTATAGTAATAGTTAAGGACTACTACTTACACTAGCAATTATTAAGCATACAGCTATTCTCCTAGCATACCCTTAATTATATAGCTAAGGGTATAGGTATATAATACTAGTTTAGCAATATAAAGATAGCTCTTACCTAACAAGAGAAGAGGTGCTTGTGTAGGCTACATAGGTAACACGTTAAGAACACGTTCTTAAATTATTCTAATTCTAGTAGGTATAATACTCCCGCTAGTCTATCTATCTTAATAGGCCTACAACTTTACTATTCTTTAATAGCTAGCTAGCAAGCTAGTATAAATACTAATACTCTAGGGTAAAAGCATATAAGTATCTTAAGAACACGTTATAAACGTATTCTTATTATATTATTAATAACATATTATATAATTAGATCTAAACCTTAAAAAGTGCAGTACCTAAGAAAATTCTATAAAGAGAACTACAAATAAGAAGCTATTATTATAGCCTTATTAAGCGCTTCTCTTTAAGGATTTATAAGGACTACTAGGTGTCTTATTATCCTATAATAAGGACTACAGTAAATTAGGTAGGGAGGGAAACTTAAACATATTTAAAACGTGTTAATAACAAGTTAGCAAATTATAGAATAGGCTTAACTATACATTAGCTATTAGAACTATAGCCTAATATCTACTACTAGGAAAAAACATTATTTTAGTTAGGTACTACTAGAGGTAGACTCTATATATCTATAAGGTCTTCTAACTAGGGAGATATTAAATCTTTCTAGTAGTCCTACTTTATATTCTATAGTTAAGCCACAGTTAAGCTAGATAAAGAAGTGTAGTAGGCATATTGTAACCTATTCCTAACACGTTCCTAATATATTCTAGGCGTTAATTATCTATAAGGGCAAGGATCTCTATTTAAAATCCTATATAAAGTTACCTTCTAAGTAATTATACTAATAGATATAGTAGTAATACCTTTTTTTACTATTATTTCTTTTAGTATACATATATATATACCTCCTCCTCCCTTAACACTATCTAATAGTAATATTAAGGAAGTAGTAAAGGTGTTATAGCCTATACTTACTCTATAGCTTATGTAATATAAGTTATTTATAACCTATTATAAATGTGTTCCTAACTTGTTATAGCCTAGTTCCTAAACTTAACCTAGCTCTAAACCTATCTCTAACTTAAAGGTTTCTATTCTATTAAAGAAATATATATTAGCTTTATAAATAAAGATAAAATCTTGTGTATTATAAAGCGTAAAAAGCTTCTACAGTTCCTATTTAAGAGTAGCCTTAGAGGAGTATACTATAAGTAGAGGATAAAGTATTAGGATCCTAAAACTATACGTAGTATAAGAGAACAGGTTTAGAACACGTTGCTAACACGTTACTATAGGCGTATATACAGCAAATCTTTATATTAAGCTTAGGTAACTTAATTATTTACCTTTTTAAAGAGCAGGCATTAATTCTATTAGATTAAGACATGTTCTACGATCAGATATGTTATATAAGAGGTTATATAGGGCATAGGCAGAGATTCTAATAGTAATCTTCTACCTACAGGAAAAGAAGCGTACGCATTAAGAACAGGTTTATAACATGTTTCTAACACGTTACAGTTATTACACTTAGCTAAATTATTATAGATAAGGATATAACTAAGATATATTAAGTTGCTATTACTAACTTCTTTTAGAAGTATAAAGCACTTATAAAAAGATAAGTATTATAGAGGCATATTTACTTATAGGGATTCTATAGGACTACTATTAATATATATAATAAGCAGATAATAGGCAAGTTTTATAGCGCACTGTAATATATTTGTAATATGTTTCTAACTTGTTTCTAGGACTTAGGCGCTATCTCTAGTTAATTAATCCCTATAAGCGTGACTAGCGCTAGTAACTTTAATCTTGTATAAGATTTTGTTAAGTACATCTATAAAGAAGTATTTATAAAGCATATAAAAGAGAGCTAGATAATACTACCTCTTTACGTCTAAGTAAATTACTATAGGTATTAATAGTAGAGGAATACTTTTAGCTTGCTAACCTCCTCTTACGTAAGTAAATATATTCTAAACCTATTCTAAACGTGTTCCTAACTTGTTCTTATATAATTAGAACACAAACCCTCTAAAGATGCCTAAAACTAGGCAATCTATAAGAAAAACCTAGTAATTGCTACTAGGATTGTGTAATACTATAGTAAAATATTAAAAGAGGTATAGGAAAAACTAGAATCTTATTTAAATGCAGCTAAGCAAGCAGGCTAGAAAGGATATAAAACTAGTAAGCATGTAAGTATTCTTAAGGCTACTTAGAAGTAAGTTTATAACCTATTCTTAACCTATTAGAATTGTATAAGTAATATTATATAGTACACACTAGATAGATCTGTAGGATATAAAAGAGTTTAAAGCCTAAAGCAAGTTTAGAATACGCTATAACTATAGAACTCCTAATAGGCTTAAGCAAAGGTACCTTAAAAAGCTTTAGAGGGGAGAAAGTAAGTCTTACGCTAGCGTTATATATATTTGCTAATTAAAATATATTTAGAATATATTTAGAACGCGTCCTATAATAATAATAATACTCTAGATAATAATAAAGTAAGTCTTGCTATATCTAACTTAACTAGATATATCTTAGTCCTAATAAGAAATAAAAGAGCACACTTAAAAGCCTAAAGCTAGAGGGCAAGTAGTAGAGTAGTATTAGAAAGAAGTTTACTAGCCCCTTTTCTATCTTCTCTACTACTAGGCTCTTCTCCTTTACTAATAGTAACCTAAAGGTATGCTTTGTAAAACATGTTTATAATATATTCCTAACTTATTATTAGTCTATAACTATAAACTTTATAATAAAAGGCTCTTCTTAGTAATTAGGCTCTAAAGGAGAGAAAAGAAAAGCTAGAGGTAGATAAGGAAGAACTTGTATAGAAAAAGGCACTGTTTAAATTGCAAAAGGCATAGTTTAAACTTAAGAAAGAGATAGCTACTTTTTATATAAGGTAGGGTTAGTCTATAAATATAGTAACTAGTTCCTAACTAGTTCTTAATATATTCTAGTCTATTATATAAGCATATATAAGTAGATAAATATATATTCTTTCTTCTTCTCTTTCTTCTTCTTTCTTCTTACACTCTATAAGAACTTTTTATATTTAAGAGTTTAATACTATTTTACTATCTATCTTTCCTAATATTATTAGATATAACTAGTTAATATAGTCTATAAAGATCTTTTAAAGTTAGTATATAATAGAACGCGTTAGGAACACGTTGTAAACTTATTCTAACACTAAGTAGGATTTATACTAGCAATATATTAAGCTTAAGTTACTTCTATCTAATACTAGGGTATTCTCTCCTATAATATCCTACCTAAATAATAGGTGTATAGTATTTCCTAGCAAGCTTTTCTACCAGGCTATTTAGGCTAGATTAGGGGTATAGGAACTTTGTAGAGTATATATACATGCGAGTTAGAACACGTTTATAACATGTTAATAACTATTTTAGCGTTACTTCTCTAATAGAGGCAATCTTATCTACTACCTTAAGAGGTATTATCCTAAGGTTTAAATAGCCCTAGTAAACTATAGCAGAACTATAATACAAGGCATTATAGAAGCAAGGATCTTCTATAGGAGCTTAATAGTAAATGCTTAAGAACGTGTTCTAAATATATTAATAATACGTTCTCTGCTAGTAGAGTAGACTACACTAAGTGCCTCCTCTAAGGTTTAAGAACCCTCTAAGATAGCTAGTCTATAATAAGAAGTAGTAGCTAGAGTAGAGGCTAAAGAGGAAGTAGAGAGTAAAGAAGAGAAGTAAATAGTTGCTCCCCTTTACACTATAAATAATATTTAGCAAAAGTAGTAAAAAGGAAATATAAGTCTAGTCTCTTAAAACATATTTAGAATATATTAATAATATATTATAGCTAGACACCTATAAATACTAGATTCTTCTTTAATCTAAGGGACTACTAGAGCTTTGTAATACCTATAAAAGTTAAAAGAAAAAGTTATATACTATTAAAGGACCCTATAAAAGTAAATAGTACTTTACTTTTAGTAGATAGAAAAAAAAAGAGAAGAGTAGAGAGTTTATTTTAGTAATTACTACTACCCCTTTAGGTTATATACTATTATATATTATTTATTAGAACCTATTCTTAATATATTCTTAACGTGTTCCTACTTATTACTATTATTATCTCCCTCCCCCTCTCTAGTATCTTCTCTATCCTCCCTATCCTCCCTAGGCTCTATAAAAGCATACCGCAAGTAGAACTAGGCGGCATTCTAGTAGGAATTAGCAAGGTCTACACTAGTATTAAAGTAATAGTCTTAAAATATATTAGGAATAGGTTAATAATATATTATAAATAACTTACTATAGCTAGGATAATTATAAGCGTAGATAGTATAAGGAACCTAATAACCTTAAATCCTTAGTAGGGTAGATATAGTAACAAAGTTAAGCTATAATAAGTTAGCAACGTATTTTTAATAGGTTCTTGCAGGCTATACCTTATTACTATTATAGCTACTGTAAGTCTTCTTCTAAATTATATTTAGGAGGGTATTAGTATTTATAGGGGGGCCTATAGTAGCTACTAGCTAGGCTTAGAGAACTTCTATAAAATATATTAGTAATAAGTTTTAAATATATTCTAAATAACTTATAGCAAGGAGTATTCTAGTAATTATATATAACCTTTATATAGAAGTCTATATATATTAGTATAACAAGTTAAGAATAGGTTAATAATATATTTACTCTTTACCTTGTAGACCTCTGTTATAGAGGGCTAGCTAGTCTTCTTAACCCTACTAACCTTATAGTAGGCTATATTAAGCCTATAATCTTTTTTAGCATAGGTATATAGAGTGCCCCTAGTACCTAGAATAGCCTAAGAATATTAGAACCTATTTAGAATATATTTAGAACCTATTCTTACTCTATATAAGGTGCCCTTATTATTAATCTTAGTATAGTAGTAGCGCTCTCTACTCTCTATCTTAACTACCCTATTAGGGCTAACTACAGGCTATGCCCTAATATTATCTAGGACGTAGCTAAGGGCAAGGTACTATTAATAGTGCTTCTATAACCTGTTAAGAACACATTCTAAATATATTTTAATCTACTTATATAGGATAAGAGGGATATGTTAGTAATAGGTATAGTAGTAGTAGCTTATAGTATTACTAGTATAGAATATGTTTAGAATAGGTTTAGAACGCGTTGTAAAATCTTATAGTATAATATTTAGTTAACCTCGCTTAGCTAGCTAGTAGAGCTTGGCATGGCCTAACCCCATGCTAAATACGAGTTCACGCAGCGCTAATTCTATGGTCATATGAACTGCGCCCTCGGTAGATGTGTCTCCTCCTTAGCACTTGAGCCGTGGCGGGCGCCATGACCGTCTCTGTTAGTGTTGTCAGGCTACTCTGTAATCGCCCCTTTGTAGGATTAGTTGATTCTAGCGTCCCGTGCAATGCGCAATCGCGGACCAAGACCGGGTTCTGACACCTGAGATGTGCGAATTTTAGGATCAAGTGTTAGGCTTAGTAGGTATGCGCAAAACAACACGAGTCTTTCTATGCGACTGGAAACGGCCCATGGAGTGTATAGACGTGAGTAGAACCGTGTTTCAAGTAAAGGTACTTACTGTGTTAGGTACGTGGCAGCCTTGTTGAGTGTAAGACACTAAATTCTCACTGCTCAACTCTAGCAATCATGACGCTCCGTGCGCCACGTCTCCCTTTATTCATGTCATTTAAAAGGCTTACTCGCTTCCCGCCACTGCACTCCTTCTCATCCCCAAACAGCTTTCCTCGACACACATGTTGAATTGTTGCGATCGAGCGCAAGATGCTGTTGAAAGCCAACCTGCAAAGCCGACCCTGGGCCGTGGTTGCACTCGCCACCGCGACAGCATTCTGTCTTTTCCTCATCTTTTACACCACCATCCCTTTGACTGACTTGTCCAACCGACCGATCAAGCCATGGGCTACTGAAGCTCAGCCCGCACCGGAAACGATACCTGACCTTGCGATTGCAACCTTCCTCACTGGCCAGGCACAAGACGACACGTATTTCAACGCGACCAAGTTGCTCGCATACCAATTTCTCCACGACCCGCCCACCAAGATTACGAATCCAAACATATCCTTTATTGTATTATGTGGGAATAAGCTGCCGGAAGAAAAGAGAGAGGTTCTTCGAAAGATGGGTGTTGTAGTCATTAGCGTAGACGACGTGAAACGACCGGAATGGATACACGTGGGGACAGAGCGTTGGAGCGAGCAATTCACCAAGCTGCGCCTATTCGAAAGGACTGAATACAAGCGCATCCTCTACATTGATGCTGACTACCTCATCGTACATCCAATGGACGGCATCTTCAACAATACCATCGTTCAGCACTTGTCGTCGCCGCTTCTGGACCGGAAGGGCGAAATTCACGACGACGAAGGCCCACTGCCAAACAAGTTTTTATTTGCCGCAAGAATCGATAACGGCGGTGTTGGAGGCGAAAAACACGACGTGCCTCCGCCGAATGCAAATTACTTAAACGCGGGCTTCATACTCCTTGCGCCGGACAAGGCCATGTACGAGCACCTGGTGACGGTCATGAACATCGAGAACCGCTATCGCTCCTTGCTCATGGAACAGGACATGTTCAATTACATCTTCCGTCGTGAGGGACCATTGCCCTGGCGCGAACTCGATTGGAAATGGAGTGCGAATTTTGTAAACGAGAAAGACATTGAGTTTGGGGTGCACAGTCTGCACGGCAAGTTTTGGTGGGAAGGTCCGGAATACGCGCGTAAGCTATGGCGCAGCACAATGGACAAGATGGAGCAGTTTGTGGAGACTCTATGAGGCTCGGCATGATGTATTCAGGCGCAATCATCTGCTTCCTTGTTCTTAGCAACACCCGCAACCACTTGTGGAATTACCTCATCTGTCCAACGTCCTCGAAGTTGCGCCGCGCACTCCCTACCCTTTTCTTTGGGAACGGACGTCCAGTCCTCGGAGCAATCGGAAGTGGTTGATCGAGGGCGGGCAACAAGCTGTGCGAACTTCATCCGCCAGGCACCGCCCTGTTGTACTCGTCCCACCATATTGCATCCATCTTCCATGCAGGTCTTGCTATAATCAGCCTGCCTTGTACATGTACCCCAAGAAAAAGCTTGAAAAAAGCGCCTCAAAACACCAACTTGACATGATCGTTTCCTGCCTTGCCTCCTTACCTGGAATCCACCACGCAGGCTGAAACCCATCTCCTCGTCATGTCACGGCGCACGACCAAGGTTGCCGGGTCAAGCAATGGGTACACGTACACACACAGACAAGCCCCCAACGCTTCCCCATCCACTCTCCACCTCGAAGCCCACCATCATGCATGTCCCTGCACAAGCAAGCATACCACGAGATAGCAGTACTAGCAATGCATCAAAGCGCACCCCAGCCTCTAGGCCTGACAGCTTCATCGGTACGGGACTGTCTGTAGATCTCGCAGACTACCTACATCAGTCCCACAGCATATTCTACACACTACACACTTGTTTCTGTGCAGCCGCCCTTGCACCTTCCCCAGGCGCACACAGCCACCCCGGTATTTGCGCAAAAGACAAGAGACAACAGACGGTCGGTGTAGTTGTCGTATCGGAACTGCGCGGGTTCGGGGAGCTTGGATGTCCATGTAGGCCGGTTTTGTGTTTGCGGGTTCGGGGAAGCAATCTTGATCTTGGTCTTGATCTTGGGCTTGGGCTTGAGCTTGGTTTGTTGTCATTGGTGGCGGTGGGCTATACCTACAGCTGGTGAAGTGTGCGTGCGGTAGGGCTGAAGTTTTGTGTTTACCGAATGTTAGCACCACGAGTTGGTAGTTCCTATGTTAGCACTCCTATCATGGAGGATATAACTACACAACTACACTGCATCATCCTCATCATCCCTCTTGTTTATTTACTCTCCACATGCTCCTTCATTCAAGACTTATTCCTTGCCTCGAAAGATTCAGACAGGGAGGGAGACAGCCGAACTAACAGACTCGGGTATACACCCGTGATAACATAAGCGTCTGTATGTGGATGACTTGCTGTCTTTTCCTATTTTGCTCCCTGCGGTGGGATCTTGGAGATGGGGATGTGGCATGGTAATGATAGTAAGGAAGAGGGCTTGCTTGCTTGGTTGGATTTTTTAATTACACATGCACGCACACATACATACAGGAGAGAGCGCGACACTGAACCATACCATCCCATCACCCCCTCTCCACCCCACCTCTCCACAAACAAAAACTACCCGCACAACCAAAAAACTCCTACTCTCCACATACACTCCACCAGCCATCCGTCCGCTAAACCCGCCAGCCAAAAGAACCCACGTACAAGCCCGTCATGGAATCACACAAACCACTCTTCCCCCCTCACCCCAAATCCCCCACGCCGCCTAACCCTAACCTCCACCCCCACCGAAAACCCCCCTGCCTTCCTCGTACCGCTCACCGAGCCCGCAGCACTACCACCACTGCTCCGCGACCCCTGCACATACCGCACCAGCGCCTCCCGAGTCCCAGAAGCGATGTCTGATTGTGTGCCGTCTGCGAACCGCCCTTGGGTGAGTCCCTGTGTGCCGAGACGCGGATGCACGTGCAGATGGAGATGCAGGTCGCGGAGGATGCTGGTGTGGGCTGTGTCGGCGGGGGTGGGAGGGGAGTGTGGGGTGCGGTCTGTGAACCAGGGGGGTGGGAAGGGTTGGGAGGGTGGGGT